ATCTGTGCCAAAGTACTAATATACTAATATACCTATATACCATTAACATTATATAGTATGTAACAGTATATACTTATTTAGGCCCCCAATTAACAGAGTGCCTCCTAAATATTAAAAAGCAGGCTCTCTCCCCTTCAACATGCAAGCAAAACAGCTTAGTTATTTGATGGGTGATTTATGTTGGCTTGCTTATTTAATCGTAACAGCTGCTGCTGGATTTGCAGAAGGGACCAGGATTCCTGCAAAGGCAGAGAGAGAAAGTTTGCAGAAAGTTGTTGCTTGCAAGAGCACATGCATATTTTTGATGGGCTCCTGAGGAAGGAGAGGGGAGGGAATGCAGCCCAGGGGACTTAGCCAGGCTCAGAGAAGGGAGGGAGCTCTGGGACCACCGAGCTCAGGGACGAACCACCCTGCAGCCTGCCTATGAAGTGAACCTGCCCTTAGTGACAGGGAGAAGATAACCTGGTATTATTTTTCCCTCTGTGAGGCAGAGGGACCAGTGTGATGGAAAAAGGGTGGTAAAGTAGACTTGCCTAGGAGGGCAGGTTGTTGGTCTGGGAGAGTTAACTGAGAACCAGCCTGGGGCCAGGTGGGTGATAAACCCAGGGTTGTTTCAGTTATCAGCACAAGGGGCTGTGTATGGCAATTGGAGAAAGGTGCTTTTGGGGAGAGGGGATAGTGTATGTTTCTTTGCAGATATCAAAGACAGCTGGAGTAGAGGAGAGCTTCTTTTCCCCATGCAGGCTGTAGCAGAGAGCCCGACTTTCTGAAGCAGTAGCACCAGCCATTGTTATTATGTTGCCAGTGTGAAGAAGAGCTGATGTCATGTTCATCCTGTGTGCTCCTGCTCACCGAAGTCTCAAGGTTTTAGCTGGGGAGTTGTACTGAGGGTGTCTTTGATTCAATATGTGGAAAATGTTTAGTTCATTGATACCTGCCTTAGACAATTCATGTATTGATATCCTGTTCTGCCATTAACCTCATTCATATGTTAACTGTTTTGTAAATAATAAACTGTGTAAATAGTTGACTGTATGTACTCCAGTATGTGGGGAAACTACAAAAAAGCACTCCACAGAGAGGTGGCCTCAGCCAAGGGCCTGGGAGGTCGACCAAGGCTATTTGACACCCAAGGTCCCTGAATCTCAATGGGGCTGTGGGTAGCACCATGGCTGGGGTTACATAAGGATGCTTGTGTGAGTGTAAATTATTGAGAGAAAACAGTCAAAGAAATAGGATTTGCATTTAATTTGAAAGTGATTGCATGCTCATTTTTATGTCTTTGAGAGAGAAATTCCACAATCTGGGCCCAGGAAGTGCTGTTTCCCACTTACATGTTTTGCTTATTTGTTTATTGTCTCATTGTTTGGGTGGAATCAAGCTGTGGTGAGAGGCTGGAGTTATGCATATGAGAAAAAGGATTAAAACTACTTTGGGGCACCATACCTGTCCCTGATTCTCCATGACAACTTTATTGGATTTACAATCATATTTTCTTTTTCGTTAAACTTATTTTTCTTTTCCCTACTGCTGTGTGAAAGACTCACAAAAGCAACAGGGAGAAACTGACTGCCCATAAAAGAGTAAAAATAATAGAATCTTTGTCAAATTAATAGACTAAACAATCTTGAACAAATATTTTTGGTGTTTTTGTTCCACAAACATCTTGGGTAATATTTTAACAGTGGTATTTACAGAATCCTAAACAGAACTGTGAATGTTCAATTGATGGTTCCCCTTTGAGTTGTACTCCCACACAGCACAGCTAACAAAAGTTCGTTCGAGTTAAAAAAATGTTCTTTTTATGTCTGTTAGTCAAGGAAAAATTGTATATTAAGGCCACAAATCAAGATTGTGCCAGTCAAACTAGAACATATGGGACACATGGAAGAATGCCATTTTGTTATTGTGCCACTGAAATACACTGATTCTTTCTACTAATATTTATTTGGGGTAGGGGTGGGGGTAGGGGTAGAGTGGGGTTGAGTGGAGAAGAAAGGCCATGCATTATTGAATCTTAGGTAACTTTCAAGGATGTTAGATCGCACTTTTGAAAGAACTACCCGGATACCACATGACAAATTGATGCAGTACAAAAAGAAAATCATCAGAAATTGCACACCATTAGTTATGATATACCTTTCCTCCCTGGAACGTATACAGAAAATCCTCAAACAATTGCAATCCATACTAGGAGAAGACACAATTCTTAAAGAGACCTTCCCAGAACCACCAATCCTAGCCTTTAAACAAGCACTAGAGCTTGTCAATCTCATCATCAGATGCAAAGGACCCGTGGCCCAAAACAAACCAAATGGATCCACTCCATGCCAGGACAAGAAATGTAAAACCTGCCAACATATCTCCACCATTCTCGGAATTACTACATCCCATAACAGAGCCATCACCATTCCTGGATCTTACACCTACACTTCCAGAAATGTAGTATATCTTATCCAGTACACTACATGCCCTGATGGAAATTATGTAGGAGAAACCAAGCAACAACTTTTCATAAATCTGTATTTTGCATATTGGCTTCTATTCTACCCAGAAGAACACAGAACAACAGCAAGCTCTCCTTATGCCTGAAGAATGCTGTTTGTGCTGGAAAGTTTGCAAAGTACAATTTTTCCAACTATTTAGTTGTTCTAATAAAAAATATCACATTTACCCAAAGAACCTTGTCTGTCTAGATAACTTTCAAGTAATGTTTTACTTTAACTGCTGATGAATGGAAATAAATTAATAGTTTATTTACTGAAGGAAACATTTAAACATTCTGTTAAAGCATCTGTCACTGTTTTAGAATAGAGAATGTGCTTCTGCGAACTAAATCCAATCTTGACCAAGCTACAATTTACCAAACTTCATGAATGGACATGGTTTGAGGAGTAGGGAAGGGAGGTGGGCAAGCAGTAATTCATTGCTATAAGTCCATCATTATGAGGAAGTTTGCTGGCTCAGTCACAGCTGCCTTGGAATCAATAGACTTTTGGGGATACTGTATTTTTCCCTGTTACTCCTCATTCATGCTGACTGTCTCCATTACAACTCATATAAAACATACAGAAATAGGGAGAAATGCAGGCTTCTGAGCTGACTGTTAGTGAAAGAGAAGATATAACAATTGCCTGTTCCTAAAAAATGGTCATCAGGATTACATGTCTCTCTCTAGTTCCCAAATTCTAGTGCTAAGTGGTGGCTTGTGCCCGTAATACATGTTGCAAATGGTAGAGTTAGGACTGGCAACTAGGTAACCAACATTCCCAATCCAAAAACTAATATTGTGCACATTCAATGATACCTCAAATAATGTATCATTTCTCAAATAAAAGGAAGCAGCTTAACAACTTGAGGCTCTATAGCATTCCCTAATAAAGAAATATTTCCTAAAAGATCCTGAAGGGCTCCCATAATCCCAACCCAAAGTTGTTCCCCTGCTCCTTCTAAAATAAGCAAGCACTCTACTCAAGTTCATCCCCACCTTCTCCTGTCCCCACTTGCACTAGTTAACAGACTCCCCCTCTATCTGCTTGTATGACTAACCCATCCATCAGGGTACAGGACCCTCTTTCTTGTAGCCACCCTCTAGAGAGGGTTACAAGTCACTGTCTTTAAAAAAACAGATAGGAAATCTCATCACTTTTTGCAGAACAAACACCTTACTCTTACTGCTTCTGAGATGGGGAAACAAATGTTTTGTGCAAAAGCTGTCCCTGCACTCATATTCCTTAGGGAAAAACCTTTATTTCCAAATAAAGTTTCAAACAAAACCTGCAAACATGCTTTGATTTCAGGCCTCCCCTTTTCTTTCAACAGAGGGAGGAGCTCTCTGTGGGGTTAGAGGATGCCATGTGTTAGTGACACAATGCAGAAGAGCTCATTGAAACTACCTCCCTGCACACCCAAACAAGTTGGCCCTCATTTCAGTAGTTTCTTCTGTAGTGAAAATATTAAAGTGATTTTTGTCAGCCATTAAAAATCACACAAGACCAAATCTTAACTATTTCAATAGCCACCCAAAGTCCAAATACAGCAGAAACAAAAATAGAGGCTATATAAGTGATCCTAATGGTACACCTCTACAGGAGAGAGCAAGCACATGCATGTTTGTATAAAAATATGTTTACCCCAAACAGGAACAAGGTACATAGGTTCATATAGAGAAAAATACTGTTTTCACAGTCAGGGTGCCACTACTAGCAGTGGGAATACTGTGTCTGTAATACTAAAGTATAAAGTTTTTCTTGAGATCTATTTTAAATCTATTTTACTCCGATTTGAAGCCACTGTTTTATATCGTGCCCTCTGCAGCAAGGAAGAAAAGTTGTTCTCCTGATTCTTTCTGGCAGCCTTTCATAGGAACTGGTGGATATTGTTCAGTAATCATACAGACTTTCCAGGGTGTAAAAATTATTTCTCTCCTAATATTGCCACTTATCTTCTCAGGGCACAGCCTGGACAGGCACTCAACAAAGGATTTGCCCTACAGGTTAGATATATATATGTATAACCAAAATTCTGTATAGGGAAACAGCAACACCACACATCTACTACTAATTTCAAATCTGATGGTTCATCTCAAAGGTGACCTGACAGTGAAACACTTACTGAAGCTGAAGAGTCTTTCTCCTCAGCCCTGCCATGCTGCAATATATTTTAATCAAAGCACAGTACTGCTGAGAATTTATTCAACTGTTAATGCTACGAACGTTATAACTTCATATCCAAGTATCTCACATCATTGTGAATCAGAATCTTTTAATTTCCAGTGAGGTTTTAAATGCAGCGTAGTCAGAAACTAGGACACTAGGGTTTTCCTTTGTCTTGCTTTCTCCATCTACAAAATTAGAGTAATTACTAATTTGGAAGTCCTATATAGTAGTATTTACTACTGTTTTCAAAGAAGCAGTCATTACAATACAGGTCTTAATTTGTTGCTGACTATGATACATAAACGTAAAGCACAATTGAATATATATAAGCGAGTTACTAACCTGAGTAACGTATTTTAAAACCCTTCTTATTGGTTGCATGGTCAGTTGACCAGCGGAGATACAGCTGATTTGTTTTGCTTGTGAAGTTCAGTTGCCCTGTATGATTTCCACTTAAAGCAACCAGCAAAGGACTTTGCCCAGAAGAACCTTTAAAGATAGGTAAAGTGAAAAGTAAAATATAATATGAGATGAGAAAGGTCAAATAAAAGTCGCTATTCTACACTGCAATGAGAGAGTAGTAGGAGTACTAAAGGGTTTAATTTGGAGAAGCTTGAGGGAAACTGTATTGAGTCTTGGACACAGAGTAGTGCACAGTGAGGGCTAATCCTAACTTCCCCACACTAATTATTCCTTTGACCTGTAAAAAGAGACTGAAAAGGAGGAAACAGCTAATGAACTGAATATGCTATAGGGAAACTAGACATTTCAAAAGAATTCAGGATTTTATTATTTTTTTAATACAGGGGTATAAATTACTAAAGCATATTTTACAATGAATTTAGATACTACAATTTCAATTGCTTAACAAACTGTTTGTAAGAAGACTTCAGCACATGTGGCAGTGACTACTGTCCTCCTGGGTGTCATGGTAACATGATGAAAACACACCCAAAGTGTACATTAATCAGCTTTACCACACAGTCTGTTATATCTTCTTGGTTAATGAGGGGAGACATGATAACAAAAAAGTGTGTTACAAAATGGTTAGGGATGAATTATTCTCATTAGTCAATGACAAAAGGACAAGTAATAGTAAGCTAAAAATATAGTGGAAAAATAGTTAAGAACAGAACTAAGAACAGTTAGTTAATGAAATAAACTAATCTGAGAGGTTGTCAGATGGCAGTGACATTTTGAACATTACATTTGGCTCATTTCTATGTTAATTGCTTGTGTTTCGATAGACAACTAAATTTTTTGTACCACCAGGTTCAAACCACCATATAGTTTAAGAAGACACTGTGAATGGAACAGAACAAGTGTGAAATCATGTTTACTAGATATGTGCAAGATTAAATTTAACACACATTCTAATGGAGGGAGTGCATTAGAGATTCCTTCAATACCAAATATTTCTATGAGTTTAAGAGATGGTATTTCAACCCAAAAGAATTTTCTTTCTAGAAATAGTACTATTAAAAAAAAGACGCATGGGGGAAGGGTAATTTCTGCTTGCTGGTGCTCTTGTGCAGCCCCAGGAAAATATTTTTTAGGACTCTTACAAGAAATTTCTTCCTAGTAACTAAAAAATTGATCAGATGCTCTTTCAAGAATGCTGTTATCCAAAAGAACATCGGCCACCAGAGTTTAGACTTCAAGCAGAATAATGAAAATACTGGACCCACTCTGATAATTCCAAACACATTATTATTCGATGGCACCAATACTTTGGAAATCAAATTTGTGTCATGTCTTCATTTGTTGTTCATGGTCAGATAGTTAACTTCTTACCATCAAATATTTCCAGCACATCAAACTGTTTTTCACTCTGAAACATTTCTACAAAGATAGAGATGTTATATCCTGGTTCAATTTTAATAGTCCAAGAGCAGGTCTGAGAATTAGGGTAGTTGCCTGGGTAACCTGGACTGAGGATCACTCCTGATGATTCCATACGGTTTTCATTTGCTGGGCATTGTGCTAAAATATATATTTAACAAGGAAAAAAAAAGCAGGTTACAAGAAAATGTATTTTAAACTATTTTTCAAATGAATAAGTAGGGATTTCAGAATCAGTTTGCAAGTCAGACCCCTTTAAATCATATCGTATTGATGCACTTAATCTGTTGATCCTTCAACTTAAAGTAGAGATTGGTAAAATTACACTTAAAGGGAACAAGTCAGTGCTAGAAACCAGTACTTAGGTTCATAAAACGAGATAATGATAATATATAAAACACAGATGTTAAAACAGTTCATACTCCAAAGAGTTTAAAGCCAAGAGCACTGTATATGCCCAAGGACTGTTATGATCAAATTTAATGATGTCTAAGTTTAATTTTCTGGTTAAGCTCTTCTACCTGTGAACTGGACCAGTCCTTTCCAATCACGTTCTGAGAATCAATTATTGAGGGTTTTTGAACCAGCAAAGTCATTGGTTAATGCATATAAACTAGTAAACCTAGCAACTTGTTGGAACTCAGTATTATTAACAAGAGGTGAAATTTCCAAGATTTAAACGATTCCTTTTTAATTCAACAATAGTTTTATTCAACCAAGTCAGATCAAAGCATGTTTCCCTTTGTTACTTTAACTCTAATTTTAAATTGATGTCAAACAAATTTTCACATTGTAGACACTAATATTTATTTTCTTTTGTGTCTGATCGAGAACTAAGTTGTTTTATAAATGTCTTTAAAATATTTATGTTCAAAATGTTTTTGATTCAAATGTTCTCTTGTTGGTTACTGTTTTTGTTTAATCATCTACCTATCATTGAGGAGAGACCTCTTCATGGCTGCTGGCTCCTATACGCTGATTTTTCCCCAGTATTGCACAATGCATGATGTGCATTTTAATAATGTTGCATGTTAGATTTAGAAATATACCTTGAAAGGGATTGACAAATGTGCCAGGAGTCTGTCTGGAATATTCCCCAAATGCTGGCATAAATTAAAGGATATGGAAATTATGAATAATAAAATAACCAAAAAAGTAATAGAGAGAGAAAAAATACAGCATGGGTGAATAAAAAGATGTCTATTCAAAGTACAAAAACTAAAATCAGGGCCACCCTAATGAGTTTTCACATTCTCAGTTATTTCCTCATATCCTCAAAGGTGTCAGGATGTCACCCTTACTCTTCTACTCAGAGATTGCTCTAAGCACCAAATGTACTAACTAGAAAATAAATTGTGTTTTATGAGGTGTGTCCAGCCTACACCCGCTGCTCTATCAACTCAGGTAGTTTTCATAAAAAAGTAAGTCCTCCTTCAGTAGTTTAAAAAGCTGAAAAATAAATATATAAAGAAATAAAAGATTTCCATCCGATATTAGTCCACAAAGGTACAGGGTTTGTGGATATATAGCCCTTTTCTTTTCTAAATATTATGTTCCTACACCCTCAGGATTTGAGACTGTGATATAAATCTCTGAGAAGTTGACATAACTCTATCACTCTTCCAACCTACCCACTCAACACACCGCCTTCCAGTTTTCAGTAAATAGAATAAGAATGTGTATGCACTTGGGTGGGACAGTATGGGTTCATTCTGCATGCCTTTTCATTTCAATATTTCTCTCCTTTTCTCTTCTCCTAAAATACTGAAAATATTAGTATAGTATAGTGAACTCTGTAAAATATGAATTGAAAATGTAGTTTCAGGCTTAGAAATTAATTGTCTGTGTTTTGAAGACTTACAAACAGAAAA